GAATATAAAACGTGTGGCACAGTTATGGCCAGGCAGACAACTGCTGCGCGCTCCTCCTTGGCTCCTGGAATGTTCCCTTGAAAACAATAAGTGCAACTTAGAGCAGCTCTGAAGTTACTCTACATCATGTTGATAGGTTAAAATGTTTTGTTGTGGGGGCTGAATCAGCTGCAGGATGAGAGATCTGAAGAAGATAATACAAATTCCCCAGTTGTGCATGAAGGATAGCTTGATTGGCTCCATGTATTGACTAACACCCCCAAAATGGAAGAAATGTTTATGAGTGCAACTCACTTCTGCAGGATACAATTTAAGTAAGTAGCTTAGCAAGATCATTAGCTATATATTTTTTAACAAACTTCTGGAGCATCTAGCATTGTCCACTGCCAAAGATGAGGTGCCAACTTGATAGTTCTGTTCTCTTACTGTAGCTCCTGTAATTTAAATAGATAAAAACTGTCAGAAACAAACATATTTTTAATACATCATTTCCAGGCTCTGCCAATGAGATCTCAGCAGCCAGGTTAATTTCCTTTTCTCCTTTGGTTGCTGTTTTCCCTCTCTCAATTGTTCTAAACGCAGGGACATTTAATTAGTTTTGCATGTTTATTTCTTCTTTAGGAGATAGGTAATTCATAAATCTGTCACTGCAAACATGCCCCAGAGGAGTTTTGTGCTTTCTAAAGTTTAATATTTGGGAGGGTGGCAGGAAGGGGATATTTTTTAGCTGAATCGTGTTAAAAATATTCTATATTTGCATGTCCTGATGTGGGCTGTATTCTGAAAGATCTGTCAAAAGTGTCACTGAATTCCTTAGGGGGGTTTTTTGTCCCCCTTTCTTCCACTATCTTTATGCAGACATGAAGAATGAGAAACGGTTCACAGGATATATAAATAATTGGAATGGGAATTAGGGCGTGTATAATTAAAAGTTTTTTTCCAGTTGAATCAACCTGGTGTCGTAGTAGAAGTGTGTTGATTGCCATGTGGGGACTCTAAGATCAGGAGCTGGACTGACCTCTCCCATTCTCTCCTTGCTGGGTGACTGGAGGCAGAAACGTAAAGCAGAGGTAAAACAGCTGTGCTCCATGCAAGGCAACTGGCATCATCTCACCAACCGTTGGATGACTAATAGGGCAGTGCTTAGGTGACAGCTTTATCAAATACTGAATGTGACTTACTGCTGGATAGAAATATGCCAGGTTCTTATCATGACCCAAAATACGTCCATGTGTTTTGGCTTCATGAACTAAAATAGAGAGAACAGGCAGAAAGTGACTGAGTAAAAGAAAATAAACATTGAAAATATATCGTCCCTCCATTTTGTAAATCTAGGCTCTTTAGCAGACATGTTAGTTCACATATCTACAATTCCAGGAATGTAGTACTTTAGATTTTAGCATGGATATGCTAAAAAGTGTGGGTCTTTTCTCTAATAAGCAATTTTCCTTAAGGAGGTGTTAGGAATTGAAATGACTGTACCTTATAAATAGAGTTTCTCTAGTGTGATATGAATTCTGATATCCTCTATACAGCTAGTTGATATTGGTTGTGTGATGCATGTATTGGTGGGAAGACTTCCTAATAGGGAAAAGAGATGGAAAGTGCTATTTTTTGTTGTTGTAAGTTTTAAGAAGCTGTTTGTTTTCTGACTGATTAAAAATTTGTAGTGGGGATTACAATTTTACAATTGTAAATTGTACACTTGGAAATCACAATTTTAATGAGAATCCAACAATATTTTACTTTCCTAATGATGATTTCATTCAGGTTAGTTGGTCTACACCTGTGTTGTTCTTGTTACAGTTTTCCTTCTGAAAAAGTCTTTATGCTGTTTATTTAGTAGGAATTGATAGTATTTTGTTAATGTTTTTAAGCCATCTGTGAATTAAACAGAAAATTGCCTCTACTATTGAACTGATGACTTTTTCAAGTGAAGTTTTTAAGTAATTTCTGGAGATGCTGATGATAATCTTGCAGAGCCCTAATTAGCCTAGGCACAGGCCTCTGTCAACACAGCTGTGCTTCTTCTGGTTCAGGAGCTAGCTCACGCAGGGCTAGCTTGGGTATCTCTGTATGGTCTTGCACATGGAGGACATGCTTACAATCCCTCTGGGCCTCAGTTCTTATTTAAATCAAAAGGCTATCTTCAAGTATCACAAGAATGTTTGTGAGGACTCAATTACATGGATTGTGTAAATGCCAAGAGAGGTAGACAAATGACCCCAGTTGCCATGTTGTTACATAATGAAGGCCAAGACCAAGCTTTTTCAGGTGAATCTGTTGTTTCAGTCCAGTGTCTGGTGAATGTGTGTCCATATCACATGTACTGCTTTGATACCCGGGGTCCTTGTGAATATAAAGAGGATGGCATGTTATAAGGAGGACGTCATAAGGAGAGTAATGGTACTCAACTGTTTCCAAAGTGTGGTCCAGGGTTAGAGCAGGAAGAAGTTCTGCAAGACTACTAATCTCCCCATTATTTGCTGTAAGGAAAGAAAGAACAATTGAAACCCTGCATACACAGTCGCCAGGTTGAAAACCTGTAGGCTAGGAGACCAAATGACCTTTATAATCATAGCAGTGTCTCTTAGTTTAGCGCTAAAGCATGTTGGGCAGAACACCATGGGGAAGGCAGCATTTCCTCTTCTCATACTGAACCTGTGCATAAAAGACTTCACTTTTCAGTGCTGTCAATCTGTCATTTTTTTTTTTTTTTTACAAACTCTAATAAATTCACTGCAATATTTTTTCCTTCCCTCAGACAAAGAGCATGCAATTAAAGTCTTATATTCTCTGCCTTAAATATTTTCTTATCTTATGCTTGCTAAAAATAAAATCCCCAGCAATTTTTCGATTTGGAAACCTGCATTTTATATGACTTGGAAGGGAACACAGCTCCTCAAACTGCCCTCTTCGTTTCTCAGCCAGCCATCTTTCTGACAGAATTTCTCTGGAAATAAAAGGACTAAATCTAATGACATATTTGTTTCATCTGTACCCTCCTCCCCCTTCCCACATTCTCTCCATATCTAGATTTTTCTCTAAGTTGCTCTGCCTAGATGTAAGAATTGCAGGTGGAGAGAACTGGTTATATGGGATGTCATAATGCCAGTTAAGTTGGGAGGATTTACCCTGAAGCTGTGCTGGAAGTTACTAGCACAGCTGTCTGTCAAAGAAACCATGACAGCTTACCTTGCACACGGACAACTTCCTGACATCTTAGGGCACCTGGACACCATAGCGCCTGTCAGTCAGCACCAGAGAAGAAATAACGGTAGCTTGGATGTTAAAAAGCATCACTCCAGCTCCTGCTGTTAACCATTTATGATTCCTTATAAGTTATACTTCATGTATTTTAGGGTTGTTTTTATTATTACTAAAGAAGCTCTTGTGTAGAACAGGAGCTCCTTCAATAAAGCTCTTTCCAGTCTGTTGTCTTATTCTCCTGTTACAGAGGCACTCTGAATTCATTATTCTTTTACGCTTTTCAGGCAAAGACAACTTATACCTAAGGTGCTGCTTTAACAGGGACTTTAGTTTCAATCTCCTTCTTTTCATCTGTCCAGAGGTGACAGAACTGTTTGTACCAATAGACCAAAAGTATGTGACAAACCCACTCAGAAGTGCTTGCAAATTGTAGCAAATCTCAATGAATTTACTGGTCAGAGATGATGTGTTTTATTAGGTCAACAGTATTTTCAAGCAAAAGAATAATAGCATGCCTGGAAAAAGTTTATATTTCCAGAGCTTAGCTTGTGTTGATCAGTTTTCAAACCGACAGCACAACTCCTGTAGATCAGATGCAGTAGAAAGTAAAAAAAACAACCAGCAAACTTAATGAGCCAGATACAATTGTAGAAAGAGACATGATTCTATCAGCAGATTTTATTTTAATGTTTAAAATCAACATGCCTAGATGCTGCTAGTGGCATTGACAGACTACTGTTACTGGTTTGGGTGAAGTGTAGAGAGGGTGTTAAAGCACGAAAGTGGGAACCTATTCTTTACTGTGCATTTAATGATCTCCCCTTGGGCAAGGCACTTAAATTCTCTTCTTCCAGGACAGATACTCGGAGACTGTCCTAGATGTGATAGCAAAAAAATCTTTGCTAAAAATCTTTGGAAGACACAAATAAGGCAGGATGCTATTAGTTATTACTGAATTGTCTTTTCAATTATAAGCTAAAAAACTAGGCCAGTGTCAAATGGGGGCAAGCATGAGTCCAAAATAAGGGTGCCTGTACACGAGCGTGGAGGCTGCTCTGATCTGCTATAATTACAGCGAGTCAGAGCAGACTCGATGAATTGAGTCTGCTGGAGCATGGCAATTACTGCACTCCAGCAGTCTCCCATGCCTTGTGTATCAGTGTCCCTGTGCTTAAAAATGGTGGCAGAGGCTTGAACTAAAGCTTGGCAAACAAAATTTAGTGCAAGCACCCTCGCTGCCATTTTTAAGTGTATTGATACATGAGACACTGCGGCACTTTAATTAGAGACGCTCTTGGAGCTTCCCCCCCCGGAGCACATGTAGAAATGCCCCAAGGGTCTTAAGGATGGGTGTCTAGATATTAAGCTAGGCACTTACTCGCATTTTCAAAGTGCCTGGACACAGTAGCCACCTAAAACCAATTATAATCTCACTAGGCACCTGTCAGTATATCTAGGTACCAAAGAACTTTACAAGTCTGGTTCTTTGCCATCTTTGTGCAATCTATAACCCTGAGCTGCAACAGGTGCTAAATGAGTGCTTCTGGTCTTTGGTCCTATGTGTATTATACATAATCAAAAATAATTTCAAGATGGAGTTCTGTCCTTATTTGTACCTTTGCTGACTTCAATGGGATGGCAGGGATGTGCATGAGAGCTAGTGGAGCTTTCACTAAGGTTTCTGTTTTTTCTGTCTCTCTCTGCAGAAAAGACAAACCTTCTCACACCCTATTCCTTTTTCATTCTGATACTGAACTCTTCTCTGACCAGTCTCTCTTCTTTTCTTGCAGTCCCCATTCCATCCCAGATCGCCTGCGGATCAGAGTGAACAGAATTAGTTTACAAGATTATGAGGGCCTGCATTATGACAAGGAAAAACTCCGGGAAGCGTGTAAGTCAGAAGTGGCTGAATGGGCTTTGTTTTTTCCAGATAAATTTTTATGGATCTCATATTGACAAAAGTGCCAGGATCAAGCTTTTATCATGCCTGGAATATACACGCATGTCCTTAATTAGGCATAAACTTTATAAATTACCATAACCTCAGAGTAGGGTTGGAGTATTGTTGTATCTCTGATGGTCCAGGGAATGTATAAAAGCAAGGATTTTTTGTGGGGTTTTTTATTGGATCACCAACGTAGTTGGGAGAGCTGTAGGATGGGCTTCAGACATCAAATGCTGTTCCCTAAGTCTAAGAAGCATACATGGATACTGAGCTAAATAGCAGAGAAAAGACTTCTTTTAAAAAATCTGGACTTAATATAGGTAGTGACTGTGTGGCTCATTACAGTCTAAGAAATACTAATCTCCCTGCACTTCTTAGGTAATAACTATCCTCTCCCTTTTTTAATAGTTTCACTCTGCCACTAACTAGATTGCCTATTCTACTGCACTTCTTTTATCTTATAATGGCTCCTGATAATACTTCTTCACTCCTAATTCACAGCCCTTCCCCATCCCTCTAAATCAAACTGTTTACATTTACATGGAGTCTTTCTTCTATTATTTAGCTCAGCCTGCCTCTGCCTTGCTCGTAGACTTGAGGAAGGGCACTTGATGCCTAAAGCTTGTCCAAAAACTCCCCAACTACACAGTTGGTCCAATAAAAAATACCACAAAAAATGTTGTCTCTCATACATTAACCTTAGAGTAATGATGCTTACATAACTTGTAGTTTTTTATCACTGTCTTTCTGGTGGCCATTTTGGACTATAGTCAGTTATCCATGCAAAGATTCTATAACTGACATGAGATTTCAGATCAGGCACTGGCATTTAAGTTCATCCTGTCACTCTGAAGGGTTGCATTGGCTGGCATACAAAATGGCCATAAAACAAGAATATTGGTCTTAGCAGGCATATATCCCTACACCAATCCCTTATTCTTTAACAAGCCTCAGTGCACCATACAGAAGAATAATCAATGTTTTGTTTTTTCATGTAATGATTTAATTGCCACATTTAGGGTTTAAGTCAAAAGCAGGCGAGCCCCTTGCATTGGCAACACTGACAACGATGATCCACATGTTTAAACATGAAGTCCCTTTCTTTGACACATGGAGTCATTAATCAATGTGGAACACGGCTGCTTGTGATAACAGTTTAATAGAGTCTTGTTCATGCATCTGGCTCATTATTCATATTAAATTACAAGCACGACTGTTTGTTGTGTAACAAAGCAGCAGCTTACTCTATAATACAGGACTCCCTGGTAATTACCGGATGGCAATCCATTTAATTGGTTTGCTTATCTTATTGTTGAAAGATGGTTATACTGTTTCAGTTTCTACCCCTACCCTCATTCCTCCCAATTTCCCCTGTTCATTGTTGCACCTTCCAACAATAGAGTTGAGATAGTCTGGATTTTAATATAAGGTCTGACAACCTCTTGTAAGTTCCTACTGCTAGATTTCAGTCATAATAAAAATAATTAGAGCCTTCATTTGATGGACTTATGAAAATTATAGCAAGCTGAGGACTGTAGTTTATGTAAGGGAAGTTTCTCTTAAATTTCAGGTGTCAGCTTGATGTACCTTGTGGGATCCTATGACCCCAGCTGACTTCCTGCCCTTTGGGCAGGGGGCTGGACTCGATGATCTTCCAAGGTCCCTTCCAGCCCTAATGTCTATGAAAACCTTATGCTTAAAATTCAGATTGCATCTATGTATTCAGCTATGCCAGAGAAACTAGGAACTTTGTATCACCTGAGAAACATAACAGTTGTCAATACTTTTTAAAAACCCATAAAAGCTTCTAAACAGACTTGTTTAAACTATTAGATACAACTAATAGACTAATAAACTAAACTAATAGATGCACCTATTTACAAAATGCAATATTGTAACTACTACTGCAAGTATGTATTTATGCCCTCTGTAAGAAACGACTGATTACATACCTAGTGAATAAAGTAATGGTGTAATGATCTATATGGTGGATACCTGATGGTGGATTCCTATTCAGTGGGTGTGTCTACATGAGGTGCTACTGTACAGTGGTTACAGTGCATTTATTTAGTACTTGTATAATCAAGTACTAAATAAATGTTCAGTGACTGGAGTTACTGTGCAGTAGCACTGGCGAACACCTTTTTAGTGGCTCTACTGTGTAGTAGCCTAATAATACTGTACAGTTGTGTATTAGCACTCTTAGCGCTATTGTGCAGTTTTATGTGGATACTGCACAGTTAGAATCTCATGTAGACGCACCCAGTTTCTGTATGAATCCGGCCATTGGCTGGATTTGTCTTCATATGGTTCCCATCCTAAAAAATAATATGTTGTGATTTGAATAGTTAAAATGGTTGCTGCTAGCTGATCAGGAGACCTTCCTTACTCCAATCTTTTACATAACTGACCTCATAGATTCATAGACTGTTAGGGGCTGGAAGGGACCTAGTAGATCATCGGGTCCAGTCCCCCTGCACTAGGCAGGAAAAGACAACTGGGGTCAGGTGTCTCCAGCGAGGTGACAGTCCAGTCTCCTTTTGAAGATTTCTAGGGTAGGTGACTGCGCCACCACTGGAGGGAGTTTATTCCACAGTCTGGACACCCTGATTGTGGAGGAGTTTTAACAGAATAGAGTTTTAACCTCCTAACAGAATAAAGAAGTTGGGAAAATGTTGACAATTTTTTTCTCATCCTTATGATTTATTGGAACCAGTATGTAAACCTTGCTCAAAATGAGAGAGAGAGAAAGAGACCCAGTCACCTCAGATGAGTTCACTGGTCACAGCACTCACTTGAGATATAGAAAATTTGGGTTGGAAGGAACCTCAGAAGGTCATTTAATACAACCACCTGCTCAAAACAGGACCATTCCCATCTATATGATACCAGCTAAGGCTTTGTCTAGCTGGGTCTTTAAAAATCTCCAAGCATAGAGATTCCACAACCTCTCTAGGTAACCTTCTCCAGTGCTTTACTACCCTCCTTGTGAGAGACTTTTTCCTGATATCTAACCTAAACTTCCCTTGCTGCAACAATTCCTTGTTCTGTTATCAGTTAGCCACCACTAAGAAAAGTTTAGCTTCATCTTCTTTGGAACCACCTTTCAGTTAATTGAAGGTTGCTATTAAATCCCCCTTCAGTCTTCTCTTTTCCAGAATAAATAAACCCAGTTCCTTCAACTGTTCCTTGGAAGTCACGTGACCTAGCCCATGAACCATTTTTATTGCCCTCCTCTGGACTCCCTCCAATTTGTTTATATCCTTTCTGTAGTGGGTGACCCAAAACTGGACACAATACTCCAGATGTGGCCTCACTAGTACCAAATAGAGGGGAAGAATTACTTCTTTTGATCTGCTGGCAATGCTCCAGCTAATACAGCCCAGTATGCCATTGCCTTTCTTTGCAACAGGGGCACACTGTTGGCTCGTATTTAGCTTCTTGTCCACTGTAACCCTCAGGTATTTTTCTGCAGAGCTGCTGCTTAGCCAGTGGGCCCCCAAGCTGTAGGTTTAAGTATTGGCTCTTGCCTGGGTCACATGTGAGACTTGAACCTGGGTTTGCCCATATTTGCAACCATAGAACATTGGTTATTTTAGGGTGGGGTTTCTCTCTGTTTCCCTCTTTCTGTTTTAGTTTGTTGTGAAATATTTGAAATGTCTCAATTTCATTTTAATTCAAAATGGCAAAAAATTTGAAATCTAAAATTTCAAATCTGAAATGGGAAAACTATTGTGTCTCATTAATAGTTTGATAATATAAAAAAAATCAGAAAAAACCATGAAAAAATGACAGTATTAATGTCAAGTAGACTATAAAAGACAATCTCAGCCTGCCTTGAAGGTTATAAAACTTGTATCTTATTGGACCAAAAGTTAATTGCATCCTATTGACATTTTTTACATTTAGCTTACATAATCTTGAGTGTTGGTATAGTGGATCTGAGGATTTTCTTCACCCAAATAGTCCTTTATTTCCTGGGAACACTTGGCCCCCAGGAAGTCTCCTACATCAATCAGTGCTCAGTCACACACAGTAGTCCATAGAGGATACCTCATAGTCCTGAGGTCTCCTTCCAGGCCACTAAGAGGGCTCTGCCAGCTTTTTGCTGCTCCCTCAACACTGCAGTCCAGTCCTCCTCCCCCTCTCTGAGTGAGTTGCCTCGCATGGTTTTTTCAGGGCTGCTGCCTCCAGCCTTGCAGCCCTGGGTCTCTTACCAGACCCTGGGAGATAGCCTGGCTCAATTCTGCTGCCACTAGCTTGGCTCCTCCTTCTGACACTGTCTGTCTGTCTCTGGTTCTCTCTTCCCCAGCTTCCTCTCTTGGAGCCTTTTAGCTTCCTGTGGATCAGCTAATTATCTTCTACAACTGGTCCAGACCTCCTAGGCAGCCTGCAATCAGGGCCTGCAGCCTGCATCTGGGCTGTAGCCCCTGCCAGCCTGCAGAGTGCTACAGCCTGAGATGTACAGTCTGCTGTAATCCTCTGTCAGCCAGCCTGCTACAGTTGGTGAGAAGGCATCTAACTGATCTCAACTGCCAGGATGGTGCATGGGGAGGAAAGTGCTTTCTAAAGTGACTAGAAACCAAACTATGAGGGTGTTTCCGGAACTAACAACAATTTCCCTTAGTTCCCGATGATGTTTCTCTTACAAAAGTTCTATTCCAAAGGAATATCTTGCATAATCTTTTAAGTTGTAGTGTTGTAAGTTCATCTGAGCACAGATTTGTGCCATGCACGTATATGTTTTTTTTGCAGCTGTGCAGTGTGGGCAGCCGTTTTGTACCTTTGTACAAAACACCCCTGCTGTATTTTACCTGTAGTTTTATAGTAAGCAACTTAAATGGGACTGAAGATAAGCTGATAGTCAGTGCAGAGTTATCAACTTTGTGAAATATTTTCCTGATTATCTTGTGACATCTCAGTTCAGCACACATTGCTTATGGAGG